TAAACATGCGAGCTGAACACGAATAATATGTTTTAGCTTAGTTTATAAATTAGTTAAACACAAGAAAACTTTTGTTCAATCGTGTTTGGATTGTCTTAGCCATTATTAGTTAAATGTTATGTTGTATTTTAACAAAAAGTTAAATTTTATTATTGTTATAAATCATTCGTTCTGATTTATAGTCGAATACAGGCTGAAATGAGCAAACAAATTGGAATCAAGTCGAACATGAACATGTTGCTTACGAGTCTGTTCAAACCATCAGAACACGAACAAACATTAGACTCGCTTCAACTCGGCTCATGCACGCCCTTACTTTAAATGCTCTATCCCAAGACTATTCAAGAACTCTTAAATCTCATGAAAGCTTGTTAGCCACGGTCATTTTAGTTAACGAAGCCTTGAGCTTGAATAAGTTTGAAGCATGCACGTTGATGATGCTTTTAGGATTCAAGGTTAACGATAATAGTGCTATTATAGTCGTAAATGAACTCAGCGTTTGACTAGATACTCGTGGCACAACTCAATTGAAAGTTGTTCATGATTGTATGTTTAAGTAATCGAAAACACTTTCATAAGTACTCGGTTATTAATTGAACAAGTTTTTACTATTTGTTATTTGGCTTTTTTATGTTCATGAACATTATTATTTAAAGCAAATCATGAACTAACTCGGTCGATCGGGCTCAATTACGGCTTAGTTACAACTTATTCATGAACTTCATCATTTAAAGGTTTTTTTTATTAGCTCAACGATCATTTTTTGATATGGCTCTTCTTTTTTTCCAACAAGTTGCTTGTATAAAGCTTGAGCAAGTCTCGATTATGAATCATTTATTTTGTTAGACAAATTGTTTATTGATAAACTCGATGATTCGTGTAGGAGTCGAGCATGCGCAGAGGTTGAACTGAATAGTTTTAAAGAAGTTCGAGCTTGAACATGGCCTTAAAGCTCGAATCAGCTTAAGCTGAGCTTGAACAAGCGCATGCTCGACTCGGCTCAATTCATTTGTAGCCTTAGTTAGAATCATCCTTTGGATTTCATAAAGCCATATAAATCTCTCCTTCTTTTCTTAAACTCATATTTGAAGCCGCTTAAAAGGATAAATGATTTACAAATTTTATTAAATAATAGATTTATTTTATTGGCTTAATTTAAACTTGTTTTATCATTATTTTATTTTTATTAAAAGAATAAAAAATGCAAATTTTCATAAAGACTATTGAAATGAAAAATCATCATTGTTTTTAAATTTTAAAAGATTTTTTTCTCTAATTATATATTAGTAATAAGGAACCCAAATTTCAATATATATATATATATATAAAGAGTGTCGTGTTTCTAGATCAGTTGGTAGAATATTAGCTTTGTCAGTTATAGATCCCCTCTGGTGTAGGGTTCGAATCCCCCTTGTCTATGGGGTTAGTACTCGAGTGGTTATGCGCATTAGGAGCGATCGGGGCTCGTCCAATAACCTCTGGACATTCCTTTAATTATATATATATAATCATCTTATATATTCATAAAAAGTAGCATTTCACTTTCAAAACTTGTAATTTACAAATCAACCACTTTATTTCCTCCAATTTTCAAATTGTTACACAAATATCAAAACCTCTACTTTTATTATTATTATTTTTTTCAAATTCTTAATCGTGGCATGCGTAAATACTTCAATTTGGTGGTTTTAAAAAAAATCACCTGAATAGTTAATTTGCAAATATCAATATTTGGAGGGCTCTAAATGTAATTATCACTGTGATATAAAATATTTGAGTGTAATAAATATATTAAATAAATTTTAAGTGTTAAATATATTAATATATAAGAAATAGGTGGTACGAATGCAAATGCCCCTAATAATGATAAATATTTATACGATAAGGCCATTTGTCGTGAAAAATGACGGCAATAAAATGAAAAAAATCGGATTGAGAAAAATCGCAAAACAGAAAACAATGCTGGAATAAACAGATTTACGTGATTTGACAAATTGTCTACGTCCACGGAGCTGCAGAGAATTTTATTACTCGAAGATTACACCCGTTGATCGCCTCGACGATTACAATAAAGAACAATCTCTCTCTCTTCTCTCTTCTCTTCTTCTCTCTCTCTACCCGAAAGCTTCAATCTGAAGCATACCAGAAGAACCAAAAAGCTACCAATGTGAGAGATGCGTGGGAAACCAAATCCCGAGGGAGCTAACAAGGGAAGCTAGCATGCTTATTTATTAATTCTATCATGTCATTAGGCTCATTAAGGAGTTAATCAAAAAAAAAATTTGAAGCTCATTACTTATTTACTTTTCTCTCTGCAACGAATCATAGAATGAATTAAGAACACTTAATTTAACAATTAATTTCGAGTATCAAATCCAATTTGATGCCAAACATGAGAAAATCCCAAATTGAGCAGTGGACTGATTTTCATGTTCGCAACAAATCTCCCACTTTGATAATGGTACACCGGTTGCATCATTCACTAACTGCGCTGTCCTTTTCTTCAAACGTGATATCCTCCACATCTGCAACTCAAAGCCCCGGTCTTCATGCTAGAAGACCGGCTGAAGTCGAGCACAGCTTTAGTTTCTCAAGAGTAACACCTTTAGTCGACATATCATCGTCAACATAACTTTGTATCTCCAAACTCTTCCCTGGGTTACTCATATTTCTACTTACAACTCTCACTGCATGGGCAATATCCTGCCTCTACTGAAAGTCATTTTCAACAAGTCTAGCCTTGCATCTTTTACTGTCATCAAACACAGTCTATATGAAATTTTTTTCTATAGAGTTAGTTCTCTATCTGTATCCTCTAGTAACCAAAATTTGTGTCATTAAACTTCTCGATCCCCTATGTCATCACATCATCACTGACCATCGCTTTCCCTCAGATTCAAACCTGAGCTCTGACACCTGTTGTTGTGAAAAACGACGACAATAAAGCGAAAAACCGAATCGAGATATATCGCAAAACATAAAGCAATGATGACACACAGATTTACGTGGTTCGGCAAATGCCTACGTCCACGAAGCTGCAGAAGATTTTATTACTTGAAGATTACACTTGTTGATCGTCTCGACGATTACAAAAAATAACAATCTCTCTCTCTCTCTCTCTCTCTTCTCTCTCCACTTTTTCTCTCTCTACCATAGAACTTCAATCCGAAGCACACTAGAAGAAGAACCTGGAAAGCTATCAATGCCGAAGAGAAATACATGAGAAACAAAATCCCGAGGGAGCTAACAAGGAGAGCTAGCATGCTTATTTATTAATTATATCATGTCATTAAGCATATTAAGGAATTAATCAACTAATTAATGAAGCTCATTAATTATTTTATTTTCTCTTATGTAACACATCATAGAAGAAATTAAGAACATGTAATTTAGCAATTAAGTTCGAGTATCAAATCCAATTTGCTGTTAACATGAGAAAATGTCAATTTGAACAGTGGATCAGTTTCCATATTCGCAACACCATTCGATAAAATTTAATTTTAATATGAGTTAGGCATAAATTTAAGATAAATCCATTCAAACACAAAATGAAAATTAAATCTAAATTTCCCACATTCCGTCTCTTTTACGATGAGATACAAATCTAAATTTATAAGATCCAACAACAACAAAGCAGATTTAAGGGATTTACTACATCATTCAACACAGCAAATTCAAATTCACTTGCTAGACGGTCATTTTGGACAAGATAAAGACGCAAATTTGATAAACTTAGATTTCTCAAATTTCAGTCGTAAATCTCGTAAATCCTAAATCTCACGAATCGGTGGATTTACCAAATTTACAGGATTTACAAAGGAAGCGATTGGGGTCGCAGTGGATTTACTTAAAACTTCTCAAATATTTTGAATGGGTTCGAGATATTTAGAGAATTTTGTTGTCAGACAGTTTTTCATTCAGGATTTAGTAAATATGGATTTATAGAATTTACTAAATCCTAATAACTTAAAATAAATCATTTACCAGAGGGGTGCAAATGAGCTCTTGTTTGGCTCATAAAAAATACAATTGTTCTTGTCCGACTTGTTTATATTTCGAACACAAAAAAATTATTTGTGTTTGGATCATTTGCTTAATGTGACGAACAATAGATGTTCGTGAACAAATAGCCGTCTTTACAATCCTAATCACGAGCGACATTTAAATATTTTTATTTATATAAAAAAATTATTTAAATATAATTTAATATATTTTTATCTTATCCGCTTAATGTGACCAAACCATCTAAGACAACTTTTTCATTTTAATTAATTATAAATCTTTGTAGCATTGTAGAAAATATATATATATTATTTTGAGTCAAAACGAGCCGAAATAAGAATAAGGAGAATAAGAGTTATTAATAGGGCTATCAAAAAAGCTAGTTGTTCGCGAACAATTCGTGTTCGGCTTGCCAAAAAGTTCTTGTTTGATTCGTTCGATAAGCAAACGAGACGAGAATCATTATTATACAAAATATAAGATAATTTTAAATACTTATATATAAGACAATTTTTTCGTTTGATTTATAAACGAACCAAACACGATCATTCATGTGTTCTATCGCGTTGAAATCATTATTATTCAAAATATAAGATAATTTTAAATACTTATATAAAAAAATTATCATATTTTAAAAATAATTATATACTCTAAAAATTTACATATTTTAAAAAAAATTAAATCCTATAAATTATAATAATGATTTATAGTTTTTTAAAAATTTGAGTTTGAAACATTAAATATATATTTCATTTGTAACTTATTTTTAACAATTTGTAATAATATAGTTGAAGAAATAATTTTTTAATAGAAATATGTTATTTATATATACTTTTTAATTTGAGAACTAATAATTAAATTTATTATCATTACAAATAAATTTAAAATTTTTTGAATAATTTAAATAATTTAAATAATTTAAATAATTTGAATAATTCGAACAAATCTAAAATTTTAAATTAATTTCAGACAAATCGAACAGCGGTTTTTAAAGGTATTTGTGCGACCTTCCCTCCATTTCGCCCCAATCAAACTTCTGAGACTTGAGGGCTCCTAGGTCTAGGGTTAACGATGACGATCGAGCTCATGGAGAAATAGCTGGATACGATGCCTTAATTTTTTTTAATCAAACCAATCCGCAGTTCGCCTTCCATCTGCTAATCGGTTTTCGATATCCATCCATTTGTTTGACGGGCATTTGGCTTTCATCAACGAAGATACTCATAGTCGGACGGCTCAGGTAAGCTATTGATTCTGACTGTTTTTACTTATTTAATTCGAAATTACTTAAAATTGTGTATGATTTGTAATTTAATGTTCTTTTTTGTCACATTTAATGTCTCTCTATTTGTTTGTCCGCACATTTGAGTTTGACCCCTTCCAGATCAGCTTATCTTTCTTATTTGGATTCTTATATCAAGTAGAACGTCAGCAATAACCAAATCTAATCCGACAAAGAGGAAAAAAACTGATAGAATTTTTATATATTATCACGAAAATCAAGAGCCGATTCGAGTTTGATTCTTATTGTTGACTCAGAAATTTTCATTTGTTGATTTTGTGGTTTGGGGGCGTTTGGTTTTGTTTGAAGTTCTCAGTGGAAAATAAGTTACAAAGGAAACAAATGTGGCAATTAAATGCACGCATCAAAAAGCTGGTGGATTGTACATATTAATCAATCTTAATAAGACTAATTGTCGGTTTATCCAAATTATATTTTAGAATGAACTTGATGCCAAAAATCAAGCTGGTTTTTCTATAAAGATTGATTAATGGCTCGACAGTAAGCATGTTTTGGGCTACAGTTGTATTATATTACAGCGCATTAGTAATAGAATCATCTTTTGAAATGTTTTTGAACTTCATAAATGTTGTTGACTCAGTTGATTCAGAAATAGCAGTATATATATATATATATATATATGAGATATGTATGTATGTATGTATGTACTGCTATTTCAGCATCAACTGATATATATATATATATATATATATATATATATAGCCCAAAAAGGCTAATATATTAAATAGAGAGATATA